GAAAATTTGACAAAAAAAAAACAGAAAACGGAAAGGAATATTAAAAGGACAATGATCAATAAGAAAAAGAAAAAGATCCACAGAATCCTAAAATCCTTTCATAAATCTAAAGGTTTTTGTACCAAAAAAATCCTCTTATGGGATAAAATAAAATAAAAATAAATAAAATCAAAGACTTACAATTAAATCAAAATTTTAAGAAAATATTTAAAAAAACCTAAAAAACGCAGTAATAGATACAAAAGAAAAAAAATGAAAATTGAGAAACTAAAAAAAAGAACGTTCTTGGATTTTTGGGTTTTTGAAACTTTTGGATTTAGATTTAGAAATTTCGAGATAGTTTAAAAAAAAAGGAGTCTAATTAAAAGAAAAATCAGCTTAAAAGGGTTTTGGGATGAATTTTGGTGAGATCCTGACATCATGGTGGCCGGTGGCGGCAGTTGGTGAAATGGAAGGAGAATTTTTTAGAGAGGGCGCCAGAGTGTCAGCACCAGAGAGAGAAAAATTTGAAAAAAAAAAAAGTGGCTTAGGTTTTTCTAAGATAAGATTTTATACCCAACTTGAAACGACATAGTTTTGATATCTAGTGAAATAGTGCATTTAGGCTTTGAGTTAGTTGTCATAGGCCACTTACCGGGCGTGCTTCTTGGATTATTGGATTGGTTGGTTGTCCAAACACATTTTGTTAGGATTCTTGAATTACTTGATTCTCATTTAATTGTTGGTCCATCAACCAACTATGATCACATTGGTCATTTTATGTACTTATGTTTATGTTTATGTTTATTTATTTTTTATTATTTTTTGGTATTAATAAAATATAATAAAAATAAAATTTTATTTTAGCTCATAATATAGTTAAGATGAAATTCTTACAACTATAATGAGTAGAATAAAGCTATAAAATAAAAAATAATAAAGGTTTGTAATTATTTAAAAATAAATTTTTTACATGAAATTTTTAAAGAAAGTTGCAAGGGGTAATTTTTCTTAAATTTTTCAGAATAAAAATAATTATGGGATCATAACGGTTTGGGGTAATCCCATAAATATTTTTACAAAAAAAGTTTATTTATAAACAATTAAAAAGATTATAGTTAATTAAAGAATTTAGATTTTATAAATATAATAATGAATGTTTATTATAAAATAAATGGAAGTCTTTGGATGATGGAATTTCAAGAATGTTATATGAGATAACTTTTTTGAAAATTTTTAGATGAAACAATTTTTTTAAATTTTACCAAAAGGCTTGGGGAATTTGGGAAGAATTTTCAATATTAAAAGATATTTTATTTATTTTAAAATACTAATAAATTAAAGAAATAGTTAAAGGAAATAAATTAAGATACCGAAATAAAATTCATTTATTGAAGATAAAAAGAAGACACATAGTTAATTTGGTACTATGAGCATTGTGAAGGTGTTAATCATTTTCTCATACGTAATTGTACTTTTAAATTTAATTTATTTTAAAGATTAAAACTATTAATTTAAGTCAAGTTTAGAATCTTATTAAAAAAATAAATTCAATTAGATGATCAATCACATTTAAATCAAAAAGATTGATAATAACTTTATTTATATTAAACAATTAAATTTCAAGACTCATATGTTATGATAATTTTGATTTGAAATAAATTAAATAAAAAGCCTAAAACTTGATTTATTCAATCAAAATTTTTTTTTTTTACTTACGTTCTTAAAATTTATGACTTCTACCTATAATAAAGAAAAAAATATTTATCTGTTCCTTTTTTAAAATTTAAAAGAGTTAGAACTATTGAACGCATCAACCCTTTATCAATTAAAAAAAAAAAAACTCATCTGTGATTGAGGCCGGATTTAAGTGTGACACCATCAAAATAGACTCTCTTGTACACTTGCGCCCATGGGGAATCCCTCGCTATCTTGCCTTTATATCAAGTGAAAAGTATAATAAATAGTAGAGAAAAAAGGCCATAATTATCAATTATCAATGAAAATGACGGCCGAAGTTGGCTTTTGCCTAGTTTGCAACCATGAATGGAGCCATCCTGTTGAAAGGTACTGGCACTTTTTAATTTATATTTTGTTGACTATTTTGTAATTGTATACTTCATTTTCTTCCTTCTTTAATAATGGAAAACCGTATTTTATTATTAAAAAATAAGTTTGAATCAGTTTTTTTTTAAAAAATTGTATAAAATCAAAATTTATTTGAAAAAGAAATAACTATTAGACACTTGGATGCGGATATCCATTTGATTAAATTTAAAAGAAATGGAGTTTGGGAAGTAAAAATGATATGTAAAAGTTATTGGAAAAATCAACCGGTTATTAATATTTATAAGGTGACATCTTGCTGTATAATTTTATATCATATATGTCTCAAAATAATAAATTACCATTTTTCATTCAAAAAAAAAAACCATTTTCGGTTGTGTTACAGTGAAGTTCAAAATTTACAAAATGGTTTATATGTTTCTTTTGTTGTTTTAGAGGAGAATTTATTTATAGTTGTTTGTTTAAATAAATTAGGAAATGTTTAACTATTAGCATAATTTTAGAAAAGTCTCTAAATTATTTAACAAAATTTAAATAAATTTTTATTTT